GGTGTTGCACCCGCACCTCACTCAGCCAGTGAGCGGCCGGTCTGTACGTGGGATCCGAACCTCTCCCAAGCAGTGCACTGTAGCAATGCGCCACCGGGCTGGCCCTTTTAGTGGTTATTCTGAAATAATGTAATGTTATTTAATGTTTAAAGTTAAATAATATTTATCCTCCTTGCAATTAATACATAAAGACCTTAGAACACTTAAATATTATTGCCCTTTTCTAATGTGTACATTACTGTTATGAATATTTTAATTCCATCTTATTTTAGCTAATTCATCAAATAAAACATTTATTATCATCATTCTATGAAGTTTATTTAAATTTCATTTTTTCAGTATCTGTGCTCACCATTCTTTCTTGCACCTGTACTCATCCATTGGGAATTATTTTCCACTTATAGTACAAGGGGTCTTCAAAAAGNGAGCCCTCATACATTGTTAGATTTTCTTGAGTGAGGGTCTGCTCTTGGTCAACTCTGTGGATTTTTATTTATCTGAAAATGTCTTCATTTTCTCCTTAATCGCTGCCAGTTTTTCTGGGTATACATTTCTTGGTTGACAGTTATTTTCTCACAGCACATTAAAGGTCTCCATACGCTGTTGGATTTCATTGTTGCCATTAAGGAATTAGCTATGTTTTTATTGCTCTTCTTTGAAGGTAATTTGTCATTTTTTTCTGGCTGCTTTTAAGATCTTCACCATTCTTGTTCTGTAGTTAACACAATCATGTATTTTAATGTGGATCAATTTTTAAATTTATTCTGCTCAATATCCATTGGTATTCCTGATTCTGGTAATCAGTGTTTTTCATCAATTCTGGATATTCTCGTTGATTACCTCTTCTCCCCATTTTTTTCTGTTATGTCCTTTTTGTAACTACAACAATCAGATTCATGCATTACTTTTTCATTTTATCCTCTATGTCTATTAATCTCTTTTCCACAATTTTTTCATCTCTTTGTCTCTCTGTGGTCTCTTCTGCACAATTTCTTCTGATTTTTTCTTCCAACTCATTGAGT